GGTGATGACGTCACGGCTTTAGCGACGCGCTTATGTCTCTGCGGATAAGGGCTTCTCGGTTTTGTCGTGCCATGCCCTTGAACAATAATTAGTAGCAATAGGGTTTTTTAAAGCACTATTTGAAAGTGCAAGGCCAGGGTTGACAAATTGTATTTAATTGTATTTACAAATGAAATGCCTGCCGGACTCCCAATAATTGCCTGACTTCCAACTTGTGAGATTTCAGTAAATTAAGGGAGTGTAAAGGCAATCGCAGAGGATTTTGTGAGCAGGTCAAAGCCTGAGTGATCCCTGCCACTCACATATAAGGATGCTAGAGCATATCAGATCGAAATTCATTTGTCTTGCATTTGATACACACAATGGCGATTCAGATTTAAGCTGTCTTGAATCTCAGATCCTACAACTTCATGGAGCCTGGGTATCTGGGTTATGTAAGACAGAAACTATGGGAGTTAAGGCACCAAAATTCATGCTGCTGAATTTCTTTAGCCTCTTTGGTGTAACTTGAAGGGATATCTCCCATTTCAAATGATGGTCCAATCAATGATACCGAGTAATATAACTAGTGTGTTCACCAAGACAGGAAGACACAATCACTTACCTTCCTTTGGCATCTCTGCTATTAACAATCTTGGCACCCAATGCTTCAACAAGCATCTCAGCAGTGCCATCCTGGTTGTTAATTCTAGAGAAGAAATAAAGTGTGAGAAGCAAGCAAGTATCGGGTTGATTTTATTTATTCCAGGGTAACAAAACAAGTAGAATGGCATTTCAAAAGCTCTCTACTGAATCTGGGTTTCAGAGGTCCAAAACAGGTAGGGAAAATTCCCACCAGTCAAGATGCTCCAAATTTTGGACAATTCCTTCAAGTAAACCCACTACTAACTTTAATGATACGTTATCTTTCTTTTTGGGTGGAAAAAAATAAATAAAAGCTAAGGCATAAGCCACCAGAGGGATCTGCTGTTCAGTCCTGCCCAGCAACTCCCTGTTGAATTTGTAGGTTTGGGGAATAAAATGATGTCAATACTTTGCTAGTGATGTGAAATAAGTATTCCAAAAATAAGCTAATTCTAGAAATAAGCTAAGTTGTAGGTTCCAAAATATAGGCAGTCCTCATCTAATTACTTCATTTAGGACCAGAATTTCCATTGCTATTGAAGGCAGCTGTTATGAGTCACACTCAAATTTTACAATCTATTTTCTGCCACAATTGTTATCACTGCAATTACTAAGTGAATCATGCAACTGTTAAGGGAACCTGGCTTCCCCCAATTGTGTTGCTTATGGGGAAGCCAGCTGGGAAGGTTGCAAATGGAAATTACATGACCCTGGGATTTGGCAACCACTGTAAAAAATATGCCAGCAAGCACCCAAATTTTGATCATGTGTCTATGAGGATGCTTCAATCGTCATAAGTGTGAGGAGTGGTTTTCAGTCATTATTTTTGGTGTAGTTGTAACTTCAAAAAATCACTAAATAAATGGTGTTAAGTCAAATACAGGTAGTTCTCAACTTACAGCAGTGCTTCCCAAACTTGGCAACTTTAAGACTTGTGGACTTCACCTCCCAGAGTTCTCCAGCCAGAAGAGCTAGCTGGAGAATTCTGGGAGTTGAAGTCCA